ACGGCCGCTTCTATGGTACATATACGCACTTATCCGAATCTACTCCGTTCAACGCACTCCGGGTCATATACCAGCTTGGGTTTTCGATCGTTCCTGTATAATAATTATATATATTTATATTTGTGTATGTGTAAAACTGTCACCGCATAAGCGTCACCGGGTTATTACGTTGGTTGGGTTAGAGTCCAATCGGATGAACGTTTTTTTTTTTTTTTTTTAAAAAAACCTCGAAAGGTACTTTATAAATTAATGTTTCGGAACTCAAATGTATTTATATGAATAAAACACCGAAATACAGTTCAAATAAATTTAACTTCTGAAAACTGAAAACTGAAGCGGCGAACATGTATGTTTGCGAAATCGTTATAACGGTCCTTAACGTGCACGAAGACTAGACATTTATATTTCAGTAGGGTTTAGCTACACCGTACCACTTAAGTTAGAGTCGGCAAAACCTAACCGCAGAAAAAATACGCGCGAGCGAGTGCGTCTAAAAAATGTTTGATGTAGCACGAAATTCAACGGTCTGTTCCGTGCCGTGTGTATTATACATTTCTGTTTTAACGCGTTTCAAAGTGGTTGTGTTTTAGTCGACGACGCGTTCAAGATACAGTATATTTTTAACGAATCGAATGCAAATTTTAAAAACTAAATCACAGCGACGTACGGCTAAAAACCAAATCGTTCGCAGTGTTCCGAACACTTTCAACGTTTTAATGCGCCGCGAAAATCATAACGCGTTGCTCGTTAACTCGTGGGGGAAATCGAAATCAATATACCGTGTTCTTAACGCGCATCGTCGTCGTCCACGGTTTTTTATTCGCTATTTTTTATTTATTTATTTATTTATTTTTTTTTCAAATAATTGGTCGAGGGTTTAACGGTAAAAACGGTGCGCGACGTGGACGGTAGAACACGGTCGTGGCGCTTGGGCTCAAGTCATCGGCGGACCTCTAGTGCCATCGCGCACACCGATAAGCTCGGAATGGGCACGGCGTAATGACGGTAACGGCGAAAAACCCTACGACACGACGGCGGCGGCGATAATTTAAACGTTCGGCGCGCCGCGGCGTTGATTAAAACACATTGCCGCGGTGCAAAGCGATTGCGGAACGCGCAGACAAATTACGCGGCACTCGATGAGTAATTAACGTGCACTCGGCCGATCGTGTAACCCGGCGGCGGCCGTTAAACTGCTGCACGTTATTGGCAATTCGATCGGTCCGATCCCTGGGACCCGTTAAATTAACTACTCGCGGTGCAACGGTAATAATAATCAAAATAATAATCAAAGCGATCATACCGCTCACGTACGGGGATAACGCGCGCGCCCCGAGACCCTGTTGTCGCGCACGATTCGCCCGTCGTGTGCGCCTACCGGATGGCGTTCGTGCGAGAATCGTAGCACCGGTTGATGAGCTATAGCAGTGGTTTTCAACCTTTTTCGGATCGCGACCCCCTCCCCACCATTTTTTATTTTTTTGTAATGCGACACCTTCGGAAAAAAAAAAAATTTTGTTTTATTCATCAAAATTTGATTTGATTGCCGATAAAACATTTATATGATAAACAGTTTTCATTAATATACACGTAAAAATTTCACAAAATCAATAACTAACTTAATTTTATTTTTAAATAATATGGAAAAATCATTTCATCCATTATTTTCGGCGACCCCCAAACCTATGATTCGCGACCCTCTGTGCGGGCATTCCAGAATATGCTATTGGCACAAAAATATTATTTTTTTTTTTTTTTGGTAAATGTTTGATAAATCTCGTGGGCCGCAAACTCTCCAAGATGGGCCGCGGGTTGGCCATCTCTGAGCTAGAGCCTAGCCTAAGGCTAGTTCGGCGTAGCCACGACCGCGATCCGTTTTATTATTATTATTATTATTGTTGTTGAACCGCGTGCCGCCGTTGATCGATCAAATTTGATCATCGTCGTTGACACGATTAATCCTCTCATGCGCTAAAACCCGATTTGTTCGACGAATAAAAAAATTAAATAAAAAACACTCGCCAATGTTTTACGAAAAGCAATTTTTAAACTATATCAATTGTTGATGAAAAATATAAAATTTAAGTGAAAAATTCAAAAATTCCAGGAAGTATTGTATAAATTGTTATTTTTTGCCACATTAAATTTTACGTTTTTACCAAACTTCCGTAGGAAATCTTTTGAACGATTGTTGATATAACATTATAAGATAATGGATTTGAAATTATTTTATAAAAACAAATAACTTCAACGTATATTTTATTGATAATTTTATACTTGTACATAGTCACTAATGTATAAATTATCGTCTGTTGTGTAAACCATTCGATGGCATAGAAATCCCTCGGCCGATCTTTCACGCGTGTTTCGAGTTTTCAATGTATTACCACTAAGGTCGATTAGGCTACTATCGTAATCTTAGATATATTTGACATGCCCAGATCTTACGTTAGTTCCATTCCCCGCACCTAATTCCAATCATGAGTCAAGACAATAATGGTTTAGCTGAAAGATAGCATTCTCAAACAACAACGAATTCCGAAAACGAGAACAAAAATAAAGTTCGAAATACGCAACATTAGCGAACCATTTCGTACATAAAATATATATCATATTATATTTTATTAAATAGTAAATATATATATATATATAACACAGTTGTTGTGTAGCATAGTGTGCGCGAGTTAAATTTACCGTTCGTAACTAACGAGTGGTAAAAACTTTAACCCTATTTTCATTTATTGATAATTAAATCAGTTTATTATTACTCCCGGACTCATAAAACTTCTCCCGGAAAACATAATAATTCATTTAAAATACATGTGTCAGTCTCAAATATGTTCTTATACCTTAGTACATGTATATGAGTTGTTGGGGATCGTAGACAAAACTATACAAAAAAAATTAGCTACACGATAAAGATAAATTCATATTACTATGACGCCTCATCGGTAACATTATCATCAATAATAAGTAAAAAGCAAAACGTCAAAAGATTTATTGCCTGCGCACGTGCTTCCAGAAACCAGAAACCATTAACCGTCATTTAATTATGAGATATTTTTCTAAATTCTATTAACGCTGGTGTCGTCGAGTTTCCTTGGTATTGGTATATGGACGAGAGCGACTGTGGTTTAGACCCAGAAGACTTTCAGACCCGACGACTACACATAAGGCATACTTTTATTCAAAATGGTATCGATTCAACAAAATTCAACAAGCTCTATGGAATCGTTCGTAAAAATGTTTTTACCCGCATTAGTGTACAAATAAATAAGACCTTTATCAGTCTCTCTATTCCTACCGATGACTTCAAATACATTTCTACTACGATTATTATTGTTAATATTTATATCAAGCTTTATAGGGGTATTATGTGTGCCTGGTGGATTATACGGCTAAACACAATATTTTTAGACGGAAAGCGTGTACCCACGTGATGGTTGTCAACGTTGTAATTCCCGAGACGAAGCTTATACGTCCGTATACATTATTTTATTATATAGTACAAGACAGTGATTCTCAAACCCTGGGTCGTGGCCTCCTAACCCAAGGGTACGTTAAGTTTACTACAAGAAAAGGGACGTTAAGCATTTGTGTAAAAAAATTTTGTTTAAAAAAAAAAAAAAATCCCTGTAGTTTTAACTATTTTTATGATACAAGAAAATTTTACTACTCTCACCCAACAATTTTACATAAAATTAAGGGGCTCGTGTTGTATAAAAAATTAAAAATTTGAGAAACACTGGTAGTACGATACGAATACAGAATTGATGTCAAGGCGCGCTGTGTACGCGGTGGGATCTCCGTTTAACGAGGGACCCGCACTAAAGACGGAAACCTCTGTTGGCCAACAGCATTATTTCTTATGATCTTGGCCATCATAAGTTATCCAGTTACATACCTGCTGCAACACGTGTCGGGATATTAGGAGGGTTTTAATCTCCAAATAGCAGACTATTACCCCATACCGAATAACAGTAATACAACGACTACGCGTTACTTTCCCCCGTCTAGAGATTTCTCACTGCGATAGTAATAAAGTTTCGCTTCAATAAAGATATTTTGTGAATCCATAGCTCCACATGCACCGTGTTAACGCATAATTGAAAAAATGAACGCACCTTAACTCCGCATCCTAAAAATATTTTGATCACCAAAAGTCCGCATGACACAATTTTGAAATATCTGATACACTGGAGCTCCACTTTTATCAATAAACCTATACACGAAACTATATATATATATATATATAGATAAATATTGGTTTGTGGAGGGGATTGAAGAGCGGAATTTTAAAATCTGCTCCTATGCGGCAAATTTGTTAATCCGGCACTGTTTATAATCCTTTATAAAACCACCGTCTAAATCATAAAAATGTCTACATTCAGATATTCGTCGGCGTAGAATACATTCAACAAAATTGATGGGAACAACAGTGGGTCTGTGTCCCGTCAATAATGGTATACCTATTTTTTGAATTAGGAGCCTAAAATTTCGTATTGTATTGTATTTAAAATTTTGTCGAAAAAATGAAATCAAATGGATTAAAATTAGACACGAACATGTTACGATAAACTATGAGAAGGATACAGCGAAAGGTGTCATGAAAATTAACTTAGAACGGGAGAGATGGAGAAGAAGGCCGGAAGAAGAAATGGTTAGACGAAATTGAGAGTGACAATATTAGGGTAGCTGGTGCGCATCAACGAGAGTTGGGAGATAGGTTCGTGTGTAAGATGAAGAAAACGGTTGATAACGTATATATAGTCGAGAGAAATGGCAGAGGCAAAGAATAAGAATACTTTACAAATTACAAAATAGTTTACACTTTGTTTTACTTGTAGTATGGGTCGAAGAAGTATCGCATTTGATTTATACGTCATTAGAATCAAAGCGGGATCTAAAAACAATTAAATGACAAATAGAATTCAACAACATAACTGCTGTTACTGCTGTGTTGCGCGAAATATGAATAAAACATTACCTATTCGTTTTAGGTGACGAAATATTGGCGGTTAACAACAAGCCGTTGCACGGTTTGAGCCATCGAGAAGCCATTGCGGTATTTAAAGAAATCAAATTGGGAGAAATAGCGTTGCACATCGGCAGGAGAGTACAGAAAAAGACGCGCGAATCGTGCAAGTCCATACGAAGTCCTTGAAAAGTAAACACTTTTATTAATTTACCAATAACGTGTACATATAACAAAACATAACATTATGTTATGTACAAATCACACGTTGTCGTATAAAAATACGTTTTTTTTTTTCATTATTTACAGGAAGAATATTCATCGAGATTCTCATTTCAACGGACGCTGTTATTATAATTATAATTATTATTATTATTATTATTATTACGTTTGGTACCGATTTTATTATGAGTTTTATCATTATTTTTTTTTTTTTTTACATTTATTTTCATAAATATAATATAATTATTGTTACCAAAAGTGTATAAATAAATTATTTGCAAGCATTACATTTTGTGTTAAAACTTTCGAACAATAAAACTATTAGTTATATACATGGGCATAGAATCTAGGATGTTTCTCTTGTGCCATTCCCTCTCCCCGAACGGTGCAATCTCCCCCACCGGTAAGAAAATGAAAAATAAAAATATTTTACAAGAAAAACACATACGATTTTCAGTGCTCACTCAAATCCTATTATCATTCACCTTTCATCCAAACAAACTCCAGGTACCACATCCAGGTGCCTTAAAGCAGAGGTCGGCAACATTTTGAACCACGTGGGCCATATTTTTTTCAAATGCTTATCAAGGGTCACATTAAAAAAAATTTTTTACATATGATATATACTAATAATGGTATTGCTATTATATTTGATTATTTTACATAGAAATATGAGTGCAAAAAATACGAATGTAATTGGAAAAAATTGCTTTTAAGAAAAAATTTAATTTTTTGACAAATTAAACATTATGACTTACCTTTGTTTTCGACGAAAAAGTATAAATCAACCCAAGAATCACTAATTTAAAATTTTAATTTTTAAATATATATAAGTATATTTAATTTATCCTATGACTGAGTAGTGCAGCCATCATTATCTTCGACTCCGATTAGATAATAATAACAAATTGATTTATAAAGAAAAAAGAATTTAATATTATTGAAAATTGTATGAAAAATTTATTGAACAAAAATAAAACACAGAAATTAACCACCTTTATGCGGGCCATAAAAAATTTTTTCGCGGGCCGCGGGTTGCCGACCCCTGCCTTAAAGGATCGAGTATAAGGACCTACTCTCTCCTTAAAGGCTTTCCTTTAAATTATCAGATATACTTATTGTACAACATGTAAATACAGATTGTAAATAAAAAAAATGTTTGTTCAATTAAAAAAAATAATTATTATAAAGTATGTGTAAAGGGAGATTTAAGACTGATATTGTCATCCATTAAGCCAATTATTATTTAATTATCAGAAATTCATCAACCTCAAGGCAATCACTAATCGCTAATACATTTTTTGTATAATTATTTTATTGTGGAAAATTCGAAAACATATTTCCAATAGATATTCGTTTTTAGAAGTAAAAATTATTTATGGAGTAAACATATTTTATTTTTCTTAACTTTACTTAAATGACTGATTATAAAACTTAAACTGTAAGTTTTTAAAAAAAAAAATGCTGGGGTTGGAGCGATGAGTAATTTTAAAAATTCAAAATGGAACGTTAAGTATGAAAAGTTTGGAAATCACTTTTCTGACCGTTGCTGTATAATGTCATGATGAACATAATAAAAATAAATTAATATTTAAAAATACTACATATATTCATATACAATCTAGTCTAATTCGAACTGGCTGCATTTCATCTGAGACGTGACCCTTCAAGTATAATTTAATGTTAGATTATTTAAGCGGCAAGGAATTTTTCCACTCCCCCCCCCCTAATACGGATTAGAGTAAACCTGATTCTACAGTATAATACCCAAAATAATATTGTTCAATGGTTTTTTTTTTTTTATATTATTTTTAAACGTTTTCAATACCATTGGTACATGCACCATCGTACAAATAGTTGCACCTATAACACAATTTGTTTCCATGCTGGTAGAAGTAACGCGTGGAAATCTTGAGCATAACTACGGATTACGATGAAAATTATTATTGCTCCACAGTGCACGTCGAAAAAGACGGAATACCGTGCCTTTGGGGAAAAAATAAAACCAGTAAATTGGCTTTTAAATTAAATTAGTTTCTTATTATTTTTTTTTTACACGAGCCACCGCGATTTTAATCGACATCGTATTTAAGGTTTTATTCTTATCCCCGTGAGCGAAGCCAAGATTTCTAACAAGATTGTTCCGTGAAAAATTATGACTAAATTCGCATTTTAACTTTATAAATAAATTAAAAAAATACTACCGTATCTAGTTCTTATACTCGAGCATCTTTGACGTACACAAATTATGCTCAATAAGTTTTTTTCTCCTGTATTTTTTTCTCTTTTTCAACTTTAACATATTCAACACAATATTTAAATGTATTAATACCGTCAATGGTGAACGAGAAAAGTGAAACATAAAAATAAACTTTTTTTAAACGCGAAATAGCCTACAAGTCGCACCGAATAACGGTGACCGGTTTCAATATTTTTCTTAATTTGACATTGTTTAATTTGAATATAAATCTGCTCGTTTTGCGTTCCCGTCGTTTATTCATGCATAAGGAAAACATTATTTTACACAAGTAAATTATATTAAACACGACAATATGTCAGTTTAATAAAACGTCAAAATGAGTGCACACGGATGAGTTGATAAGATTGCCCCGTGGGGCCTCTGTCTTCCGCGTAATTGTATATTTTATGTTTTAATAGAACTACTACACAAGCGTCTCCAGTAGACAACCGACAAAGTCCGATCACTAATATTCGTATTTACGTTACGGCGGGTTTCATCGGATACCATTGGTGTACGCGTTGCTAAAGGTCCAAACCTCCACGTCATCCCGAGAATATTAATTAAAAATGGTAAAACGAATAACGTGCAATTTCGTTAACGTTATTCATGAAAAAATAGGGTCTTTGTAGCAGAAAGCCAAGAAAATAATTACAATGGTGAAATACCCATGTACTCGACACATTTTAACAATATGAAGTTATAACGATGCATGGAATACTACAATGTAACTTAAAAGTAATAAATATAAACATAAATAAACGCAGTGACTTGGTGCTATCATTCGTGGCCGTTTAAAATTGTGTGGTGTAATTAATTTTGGTTGGCGAGCGTGTGATCTGATGAAATTGGTGATTCGAAGAGTCCCTAAAAATAACCTTCCCATCGTCATCGAGTTGAACAACTTTTACATTCGAATCATATATGTCAATTAAATTAATCCAGAATTTTTTTTATTTTTATTAATAAAACTATCCGAGTAAAACTATTAGTATTAGTTTTCCTATGTAATAAATGAAAATTAAAAAAAAAAAAAAATGTAAATGAAATTTGTTTAGTCAAAAACTGTTTTAACAGTATTTCTAAAAATATTGACTACACAAAAAAATATGTTTTTACCTCTATCAGTAATAATTAATACTTCAAGTTTAATATGTGCACACAATTTTAGAATATGAGAAGCCACTCTACTCATTTAAACTCAAATTTGAAACACAAATCAATAATTAACTATTAGTTAGGTACTTTTTACTAAATTTTAATATACATCCATTTTATATTATTTTATACTATTTATAAAATAAGTCACTTAGAATTTTTATTATTTTTGTAATAATCTAAGATAAAAAATATAAGTTGTGTTCAAAACTAAAAAATTACCCTGCAAGTTTTATAAAATATAATAAAAATTTTACAATTATTTATAAACATGATAAAAGTATATTTATTCTTGATATTTGTACTATCCATACTCAGTATAACTAATACATGTAAGTAATAAACAAATTATATTGTTACATACATATTCTGCAATTGTTTTAGTGAAAACAATATTTTGTTTGAAACACATTGCTTAAATATTAGTAAATATTGTGATATATATGATGAATTTATTAATACTTATTGATAAAAATATCAAAATAATTTGATGAACGCAAGCTTAAAATTGGTCAAGATAAAAATAATCAATAGCATAATAAAAAGATGCATATTGCACTTGTAAAACAATTTCATGAAAAAATTATTAACATAAAATTGTACTCTAAATTAAATTATACTATGTTGAATATTTGTTCAATCAAATAATACAAAATAAATTTAATAAAAGATTTAATTATTCACCTATCCACCTACAACTATGACAAGAATTTATTTATCAAGTTTTTAATTGACTGAACATAATAAAATATCAACAACAAAAATTAACATACTTAAAAAACAAATAGAAAAAAACTAACTTTAAATCTTTTGTACATTTTAAAATAATTTTAATTTTAATGTAATAGATAATACCAATAAAATACACAAACACTGACAGTAAAGAGATCGTGTATTTTCAACATGAAAAATTAATTAATTGGTTTCATTTACGAAAACTGTAGAGCATATTCGGAAATAATTTTTTGGGAAATATTTATTTTTAGTAATTAGATATAGGAAATGATTCAGGCATTTTTATAAGTACTTAATAGATACATATAAAAAAATTATATTAAACAAAATTAAACATAAGAATCCTTAATATAAGTTACACGGAAGTTTTTCTTTAATTCATTTTAATCTTTAGATACTTTTTCACGTTTTTGTTTCAATATTAATTCGTATTTGGACTTGCTAACCCACCATAACATAAATGGAGCAACTACGGCTGGTAGAGACATAACAGCGAATGCAAACCAATCAAGCTGAAAAAATAAAAATAAAACCAATTAGCAACATTGATAAGAACAATATTTGTTTTACATAAATAAGATAAATTATTGTTTGTATTTTACGTTATTCATTTTAAGTTGTCTATTGTAAAAATACATTTACTTTCCCAACATAATCAATCATAAGAATGAAATATAAAATTGTTTTAATTATAAATTTAACTCCCTTAAGATTATAAATAATAGCTTATTAAAAATATAGTCTAAATATCAGAAGATTCTTAATATAAATTTAATTTAATTCAATCATTAGGAGATTTACAAAAAAATAGTATCCCAATATTTACCAAATGAGGTGAGAATTTCTTGTCATATTCAGCATAACTGATAATGTATCCTTCACCAGGCTCACTGCTGATTGCGAACTGTGGCTCTTCAGCATTTTCAGACGATTTGTACTGTACCACTGCGGCTGAGAAGTTAAATCGGCCATATGTCAAAGGTTTAATAACTACAGCATGGGTAACATTTGCTCCAGAAGGTATTCTGTTAAAACGTATGTTCAAATTTCCTTTTACTGTGGCAAATGCTTCAGCAGGAAATCCCGAGTCTTGTAATATAACATTTGTAGCTGGTACACTTCCCACATTGTAAATGGTATACTATCAAAATAAATTTAAATTAATAACCATATAAAAAAACATTTTTAGCTAATTAATTTATTATATATTTAATTTATGCATACTTTTACTAGGATATCAGAGTCTTGAACAAGTAATTTATTAAGAACTTGTTTGGATACCAATAGTCGAGCAGTATCTAAACTGGATACGGTTAAAGATGTGCAAACTAGTGCTACAATTATGAATGACTTTAATGAATACATTCTGCAAATATAAATATTACAAGTTTAGTCCCCATATTTTTAAAACATAATTATTTCTTAATTTCTACAATTTAAATAAAGTTAACACAACAATATAAACCAATAATACAATTAATAACCATTAAGGCTTTGATCATTGTTTGACAACCAAGCTCAACAACACAATCATTATGAATGTCATACAAATGAACTATTATACTGAGAAAAAAATTATGAAGTATAATGTATATATGTAATTTCCATATTAAATGTAGATGAATTGTGGCTATGACTTCTGTTGAGATTTTCGGCACAATTACTCAAATTATTATAAGATATATTAATATAATGTTATTATATATATATATATATATATATATATATATATATATATATTATTTACTATACACAATTTAGGATATACAATATCTTTCAAATGTTATATGATAACTAACAAGTATATTAACCATAATTTTTAAATAAAGTTCTTATTTAAACAATTTTATATTAATTTACCATCATATAAATGTTCTTTTATTAACTGAAAAAAAATAAACTAACTCATCCAATATCAAAAGTACCTATATTTTTCTTAAAAAAAATATTTAATAGAGAAATGAATTAACTGTTACATACAATGTAAAAGCCCTTGTAAAGAATAATCAAATGTTAATTAATATGATATAAAAAGTAAAACTGTTTGAAAAGGATAAGGCTATTTTAAATTAGTATAAAAAATAAAATATACCAGATTAATTTGTAATAACGAAATTCAAATATGTATTTCAATATTATAGAATACAAAAACTACAGAGTACATTTAACTTACAAAAATAACTTAAATTACTTATATCAGTGAAAGAATCAGTTTTTTGATTTTGCTTACATTAGAATGTTAAATAAATTATTTTAGGTATAACATTTTGTACAAAATTAATTTATATTTACAAAATTAATTTCATGTACAAAGCAAAAGAAAAATATTTAAGCATAAGAGTTAGGCAAGGAAAAGATCACAATTATTTAATCACAATTAAATATAACTATTTTCAAAAATATTTGTATGCTATTATAGTAGAAATCATTCTAGAACACACAAAAAAAAAGTATAATACTTGCAACATTGGCTTATATCAACAAATATGGTCAAACATTTCGTCAATTTGAAGCAACCAAATTAAACTAATTATAATGTTACTTTAATCTATCCCAATATATATTTACTAATACAATCCACCAGATATTATATAAAAATAAAAATTAGAACAGTCAAAAATCAAGTAAATTTAATCAAAAGAAAAAGAAAAGAATCACTCTAGAATAGTTTCACATTTTCCAGTAAAATTAAGTATTTCCTCACATATTTTTTTGTACATCCAAGAATCACCCTTAAGTCGCTTTCGTTTAATAGCGACAACAGGTACATTCTCTCTGTTTATTGAAGGCACAAGGCAAATTTCTAATTCAAAAGACAGCTTCAACTTTTCCTTATCGCCTGCATCGCTCTTTAATTTTCCCCTAAGCACAAAGCCTTTCCTTGAGCAAATTACATTTTTCGTAGCTAAAACATTTTCTAGTTGATTCATCACCTTTTCAGGATCCTTACAGATTGTAGTTGATATATTACATAAATCTTTTTTAATATTTAAAATTTCCGGTTGTTTTGATGTCGGTGTAGAAATACGACGTCTAGGAGTCAAAGCTTTTCGCACGCGGTCTAATCCTGAAAATATTTTGCCTGCCGGACTATTTTGATTTGATGAACACTGTTGTTGTGGAGTATCAAGATTAGTATTCTTTTTGATTTTAGCGGGTATAGTTGGAGTTACTTCTTCCATTTTTCTCCTGATAGCACGTCCAACAACTCTTCTATTCTCTTGGCCTGGAGTATGTAATGCAACTGGCCTTCTAATAATGAGCTCTGGTTGTGGTTTGGGTATTTCTTTTTTCTTAAGCATCAAGGGAAATCCAGACTTTTTTAAATTTAATAACAACAAATAAGTGGCAGTTTCGCTGTCATACTTCCACTTTGAAAGACGAGACCACAGAATTTCTGCCTCGACATTGAAATGTCGACTCATAACTTCAAGGCATTCTACGTCCTTACGTTGATCAATAGCATGAGATAGAGTAGACGGAGGACAACCAAACCCTAGTTTAATCCAAGGGTCATTGATTAACTCATTGATTCGTATGCGCTTCAATGGGTCTACGCAAAGCATACGTCTCAATAAACGTTTACTGCCCGATGACAACCAGCCCGGTTCGATATATTTACCACGTAAAATTTTCTTAAACAGTTCATCGATGTTATCACTTTCAAAGGGCAAACAACCACATAACAGCGCGTACAGTATAACACCCATGCTCCAGATGTCCACTTCGGAGCCGTGATACTTGACGCCCTGAATGAGTTCGGGTGCAGCGTAAGTGGGCGAACCGCAAGAAGTTAATAGCAGACTGTCCATACCACCCTGAGGCTTGGCGCAAAGACCGAAATCAATTATTTTCAGATTCTGTTCTTTGTCCAGGAGCACATTTTCGGGTTTGAGGTCACGGTGGGCATACCCATTGTCATGCAAATACGACACAGCCGATATGATCTGTCTGAAGAACATCCTGGACTCCATTTCGCTGAGACGGCTTTTCTCAACGATGTGGTCAAACAGCTCGCCGCCCGAACAGTACTCCATGACCACGTAACAGTGCGTCTCGGTCTCGATCACTTGGTACAGCTTGCAGATGTTGGGATGCGACAGACTCTTGAGCGCGCTGATTTCGAGCTTGACGCGCGGTAGGTCCTTGCCCAGCTTGGTCTTATCCATGATCTTGACGGCCACCTTCTCGCCGGTTAGCGTGTGCGTGGCCAGTTTGACTTTACCAAAGCCGCCGGTGCCGATGGTGCGGTCCAGCTCGTAACCACAGCAACGCAACGTCGGGTAACGCGACATGTCGCGCACTCGGCCGAACCGTTGAGTTGCGCAAGCGCCGTAGGTAACGAACGCGTGTTTTTCCCCGTTCGGACGGAATACCGACCAGACGACGACAACGGGAAAAGCGGTTAGGCGGGCAAAATAAAAGAAAAAAATGACGATAGCAGATAGCGGCGAGGTTGAGAGAAGGAGAGAGTGACCTGTCAGAACGACATAAAACAACGACAATAATTCAACAACGACTTACCTATGGATATTGTATGTTTTTGCGTTCGACGTTAACGGTTATTACGCGCGACGCGTGCGTACGGACGGACGTGAAACGTGTGAAACTATGCGAATTCGACGGCTAGCGATGACTCTAAACGCGGCCCGTTGGCAGTTCCAACGCTGTTCGGACGGATCGTGCGTACCACGTATCCAACTGCACACGTATCTATCGGGGACGACGACGGTATATTTTTTTTTTTTTTTTGCTCTCGTTGCCTAACCGCTTTGCTGTTAACTCTTCAAACCATTCACGTCACCGGGACACGTAGGACACGTAAACAAATATGTCCGTTACGACGTGTGATAACAACGGACATGTTCCTCACCGCCGCTCGCCGCTTCGGTGACGGTATCAGGTTAGGTAACCAGGACTGCGAGACGCGGTCGACGGCGTTCCGTGTCACCGGTGACGATTTGTTGCCGAAAATTCCGACCGCGACGCGTTTTTCCATTATGATGTGTCAATGGTTTTTCCGCGTCGCTGGAACGTCCCCGGTCGCCTTCGCGTTCCTCACCGCGCGGGACCGTCGGTCGACGGACAGATAGCGCGCGCGCGAGCACCGCACGGTCATCTAACGACGACGTCACGCGATAGACCGGCGACGGGTCACCGCCAACGGAAGCGAACCCCGCGTGACGGTACTGCCGATCGCTCATATTGCTTGCGCGCACCTTCGGTCGCCGTAGCTCGCGCCCCGTAACGTTCGTCGAGAAACGGAAAAGAACGAAAACTGATTTTGACCGTTCAAGAAATTAACTATACGTTTAAATCAATCAACATCAATTATCATCGATTTATATCTACATGTTCACAATGTCTCGAACGCCCCCAGCCAAATCAAATTCGTTTTCAAATCTCAAAGGGAAAATAAATGCAGATAACGTCTCTTTAAAGGATATTTTGCTTTCAATCAAATCCATTCATTCTGAAATCCAGTAAATTAAATCAATTGCAATCAAATTACAAATCCAAGAAAATACTTCATTATCTATCTAGGGTAGATTATAATCTATAGAGATTCGTATATTTCAATACTGAAAAAAGGAAATTTTGACTTAAAAAAATAAATTGATTATTTGCGTAATAAAAGTTGCAATCATACTCTCACTTCGTCATTAGATAAACCTAACCTTGAATATTGTACATGAAATAATAGAACCAGAATCCAAGTGTCGTAATACTATTATATTCAATGTAAACGAACAAGATGACAATACATTAAATATCTTCTAATTTAAAATTGAATTTTACCTTAAAATCTTTGTCTCGCTTGGGCAAACTATCTAATAAATAGAGTTCTATTATTTTTTAACAGCCGATAATGTCTTGCAAATTCTTGATGCTAAACATAGCCTATATAATGAGTCTGATTTTAAACGTCTTTGTATTTCTACCAATTTCACTCGTTATCAAAGAAAAACATAATTGAAAAACGAACGTAACCGTAAAAATTGGTACATTTGCTATACTCGTACTTATGGCTTGAAGCAAAGCGAATTAATTAAATATTAATATTTTTAAATGTTTAAAAATGTCTTATAATCGAACAAACAACAAAATAAACTTTAATTTTAATATTGATAAATTTCCATTACTTGAAATTAAGCATGTACTAGATCTTAGTATATCCTTCCAATCCAATCTCATGTTTTCCAATTATATACATCAAATAAGCTTAAAACATATAAAAACTGTAGGGTTTTTAATTAAATATACAACAACATTCAATCACAATAACATTCATTATACTATCTAAAAATTCTTTATTGTGCGTTGGTTCACCCTTTATTAGAATATGGATCGATAATTTTGAGCCCGTTTTCTACTTGTCGTATTGAAAAATTAGAAAGAGAGCAGAGAAAATGTTTACGCTTTATTGATTACAAAAACAAAAACTCTAATAATAATAACTTCAATACCTTAAATCAGGGGTCGGCAACCCGCGGCCCGCGGGCCAAATGTGGCCCGCGAAGTAATTTTTTATGGCCTGCTCGAAGGTGGTTAATTTCTATGTTTCATTTTTGTTCAATACATTTGCCATACAATTTTCAATACTATTCAATTCTTTTTTCTTTATAAATAAAATTGTTATTATTATCTAATCGGAGTCGAAGATAATGATGGCTGCACTACTCAGTCATAGGATAAATTAAATATACTTATATATATTTAAAAATTAAAATTTTAAATGTATTTAATACATATGTATCTAATATATTCAATCTATGGTCATAGTTACTTTGCGTTTGTAGAAATTAGTAATTACACCGTGATTACGCCCTTTACATTTAACTGCGTTTGTAATAGTTTCATTTTATAAGTAAATCCAAACATTTTGGCGACTAATAAAAGAAAAATTTGTGATAAACATCGTTTTTTTAATAATTCTTGGGTTGATTTATACTTTTTCGTCGAAGACAAAGATAAACCATTATGTTTAATTTGTCAAAAAATTAAATTTTTTCTTAAAAGCAATTTTTCCAGTAACATTCGTATTTTTTGCACTCATATTTCTATGTAAAATAATCGAATATAATAGCAATACAATTATTAGTATATATCATATGTAAAAAAAAATTTTTAATGTGGCCTTTGATAAACAATTGAAAAAAAAAATATGGCCCGCTTGGTTCAAAAGGTTACCGTTTCCTTTTTTTCTAAATTAATAAATGGTTCAATAACCTGTTCCCCTTTATTAGAACGTAACCATTTTCACGTAATAAATGGCGTTTATATTAATAAATAAATAACTAGTATAATTAGTAACCGTATTTTGGAAAAAAAAAAAGATTTTTATTTTAAAAAAATTATAAAATCTATTTAATTTACCTTTTTATCAAGAAAAGTTATCCATATAAATTATTGTCCAATAAAATCCAAATGATATTATTCTAAAAAAAAATATTTATGCCACAAGATTACACATGACTACCTATAGTAAATGAGAGCACATATTTTGCAAAGGTACATCTTGGATTTTAAAAATGTTACCCCTCGGAGTTGAAGTTGTGTCACCACTTACGCCAATGTCAGATTCAAGTGAAAAACCTTTGTATTCGTATTTTATCTTAATTATTATATTTTTTTTACATACAATTATGTGTAATACTGTTTAACATTTTTATATGGTTTATTTTCGATTGGACAATTTTGTTTCCGCTACCGGCAACGGAATATTTGTCCGTCCACGCGATACTGAAATATTGACTGACTTAATAATTACAATAGCCATGTGCGCTTATAGACGTTTTGATTTCAAAATAATAATCATAATATGTATGTATATAGAAATCGAATTTCCTTTAACATATCATTTTCGGTTTTCTTTTCTGTGTTTATCGTTGTACCATTACATATAATAGCTGGCATTGAACTCTTTCTACTTCTCTACTCTCCCTCACCCGATTTTGTTTAAATGTTTATCGATTTATGACATTTATATTCTATACAATGAATTCTTACACACGCAGCGGCACAAACGCATCATTTCATTCGATCTTGTTTGCATCCACTTGACTGAATGCGTTTATACAACTGTACTCTGCTGCGGCCGATAAAAACCTACGCGCGTTCAGTGTAAACATTATAAATATAAAACGCAAATCTAAGCATTTATTTAAATAACTTTAAAGCTATCATTATACATTAATTTTATTTAACAGCCAATTCAACAGAAACACATGTAAATTAAAAAAAAAAAAAAATTAATCAAAACATCTCTTAAATTATTAAAAATATAAATTAATTAAAAGTTAAAGAGAAAACTGTTGTTAAGTGAGTGGTTTTTGATTTAAACAATAACTTTTAGTTCATTATAGTATCGTTAGTAAAACCGATTTTACATGACCTATGATTTTAAAATATTTTGCATTTGAATTTAAATACATGGCACGTGGGTAAAAAAAAACCCTTGTAATTATCCAATAATAACGCACAACTGAAATATTTAAATGGTATTTACTAACTATTGTTTTAAAACATCGATTTTGAGTTACGAAAAACAAACGATGTGGTATTATCATAATGTAAATACATTTTTTTTATTTTGCAAATATTTATGCGTATACTAAGATAACAACTACATTATTCCACAAACGAATCGCATTATGTCATAAAATTAAATCGTGTGTATACTGAGGTACTGAATTTACAACTGTACATATTATGTACGCTGCACACTCGCACCTACGTGATACTACCACAAACTCTATATTTTTGTCAAAAATCATAACTGTGGACTTCGATAAAACACGTATACAATGTACTCTTTATTTGGGTTTTGTTTCTATTTCTTTTTAACGCTTTTTTATAGTATTTTATCTTATTGTTCATAATATATACTATGTATACTATAATGTTATGTTCTTCCATATTTATCAAAAAAGTATAGATAATCTATACGATTTTCGACTTAAATTACTTCTTAAGTTGTTTTTTAGTTGTAAGTAAAAATAAATTTATAAATAATTACAAGCCTTTGGAGAAATGTATCCGTGTGTTGTTGATCCTATTTACAGTTTATTGATCAGTAACCATATATAATTATTTAAAGTACAGATCGCTTAAGTTCGTGACTGATAACACTATAGTATTATATTATATATATTTATATACTCGTATTAAATATTCACACCTAGATTTTCCATAATTATTTCCCCAGACTTGAACCGTTTATAACTCGCTGTGAAAAACCGTTAGTCCGACATACATGATTACATTTATGTGCATGATGTACGTAAAATATATTGTTATGTTTTAGGCACATTTTTAGAAAAATATTCTCATTCGAAAATTTAAATTATAGGTCGATGCGCGTACCTAGTAATATTGAAAGTTGATACTGTTTCTCGAGAAACCAGGCAGGAGAGTATATACAATTATTATAATTATACGAAAAACCGAGTAGAATGTAGGTGCATAAGCGGTAAGGTTTGAATAAAATACCAAATTGAAACGGAACAATAATGTCACGTACACTTTCCGCGATATTACGATACGATGTTATTGTTCGCCCGGTGGTTCACTCGGAAAGAGAAAACCCATCCGGTACACAACCATGGCGATACGTCGACGCACGACGCAACGTCGTCGATTTACGCGTTGTAGACGGGGACACGGTTGCACGCACTTTCTTTGCCCCGTGAGTCGCGGTCGGTCGCGCGAACCAGTGACCGACAATCGCGCGTCGTCGTCCTCGGAGATCGCGCGTCCTTATTATTTTCGGTCCGTCCTCGCGTTCCGAACGTTATGCGCGAGAATTTCACCGATGCGACGAAAACC